GCCTGAGCCAGTCTGTAGACGGTTCCCATTCATCCCCCAGATCCCTGCCTCCTGGGACCCTTCCCTGCACCAGCCCGCATGGAGGGTGACTGCCTCACCCATGACTCTGTGCCACCTCCCCGAGTTTCACATTGGCCTTAAACCTCTCATGTGCTTGCCACTCACCCTGAGGGCAGGCGCACCCCAGCTGCTCCTCTTCCACATTAAATTGGCAAGGCCCCTTTCCCTGCCTCAGTGTTCTCCCTGTCCCTGGGCTCAGACAGGGGATTGTGTTTTTTTGTTTGTTTTTGTCTGTTTAAATATTTATTTATTTACTTACTTATATTTGGTTGCGCTGGGTCTTGGTTGCGGCAAGCGGGCTCCTTAGTTGCAGCACATGGGCTCCTTAGTTGCAGCATGCGAGCTCTTAGTTGCAGCATGCATGTGGGATCTAGTTCCCTGACCTGGGATCGAACCTGGGCCCCCTGCACTGGGAGTGCAGAGTCTTAACCACTGCACCACCAGGGAAGTCCCAGGGATTGTGTTCTTGAAGAACAACAGATCTCTTATCGCCATATCTGATGAGTCCCCGTGTGGCTGGGGGTTTCCTGGGTCCATACTTCATCCCTGATGCCACTGTGGGTCTGGCTACACCCAAGGTTGCCCTGGGGGCTTTTGCTTTCAGTGAGATCTGCTGATCTGTCAAGCTTGGTCTTTTTCTTTTGATTGGGGGGTGGCAGGGTGGCAGTGGTAGCATGTAATATGAATATAACATTTGCCATAAAAGGTTTTTTTTTAAGAAATTAGAAATGCATAGCGGTTTCAGTTTTTCAGATCCCCATGGGCCAGTGATTCTCAGAATCCCCTGGGAGAAAAGGTGCCTTCCCAGGCACCAGCCTCAAGGAGGCTGTTGGGCGCAGGGAGGGGGAGGGGGTTGAGTTGTGAGATTTCTGCATCAGGTGACTTTGCTGTTAGGGACGCACCAAGAAACGCTGGGGCAGACAAAGCAGTGACAGGACCAAACAGACATTTCAGCTGGATGCAGTGTGATGCCTGCCGTTCACCTTGTGTCTTATAGGCCGGCCCTCGAACATGTACTTCCAGACCCATGACCAGATTGGCATGATCAGTGCTGGCCCCAGCCACGTGGCTGCCATGAACATTCCCATCCCCTTCAACCTGGTCATGCCGCCCATGCCGCCACCGGGGTATTTTGGACAAGCTAATGGGCCAGCCGCAGGTGAGCACCGAGTGGCATCCCATGGGGAAAAGCAGTTTGGCCTTGGAGTTTGTTCACATCCAGGCTTTGAGCAGGAGTGCTTGTCTGTGAGGCTCAGAACCTCGTTCAAGGAACCCTGGATGGCTGTCTTTCAGGCCGGGGCACCCCAAAAGGCAAGACCGGTCGTGGGGGACGCCAGAAGAACCGCTTTGGGCTTCCTGGGCCCAGCCAGACGAATCTCCCCAATAGCCAGGCCAGCCAGGATGTGGCGTCACAGCCCTTCTCACAGGGCGCTCTGACCCAGGGCTACATCTCCATGAGCCAGCCCTCCCAGATGAGCCAGCCCGGCCTCTCCCAGCCTGAGCTGTCCCAGGTGAGCCCTCTGCCACTTTAACTTGAGACGTCTCACACCCACAGAAAAGTCAGACCAGCCCAGGGAGCCCTCTTCACACATGCAGACCCCATGACACTCACCCCTAAAGACCTTAGCAGGGGGACTGTAGGTCTAGAACATTCCATCCACAATACTGTCCTGGGTAGCATGTCTCCAATGGTGAAGTAACCAGTGTGGGTTTCCTGCCACTTAGGCTTGAGGATAAGTTTCCAGATTATTCCCTGCGGCTGGTGATGGGCTGGACGCAGAGCAGGTTCTCAAGCCTGGGAGGGTGAGTGCGCATCCTTCGACTGGGTGCTCATCTCTCCAACCTTGTCTTCCAGGACAGTTACCTTGGAGATGAGTTTAAGTCACAGATTGATGTGGCGCTGTCGCAAGACTCCACGTACCAGGGGGAGCGGGCGTACCAGCACGGCGGAGTGACGGGGCTGTCCCAGTATTAGAAGGCAAGCTGGCCTCTGGAGGAGGTCTTCGCTGGGATCTGGACTTGTAGGAAAATTTGGGAAATGTGGGAGTCTCAAGTCCTCGAGGGGCCAGTGCATCCTGTCACCTGTCACTCTGGGTCCCTGCACCTCTTCTTAGTGTCTGGGGGATGTGAACTTCATGCACACCGTCTGTGCCACGGTCCTCTCCAGAGAGAGTCTTAGAGCTGCTCCTGGTGGGCAGCCAGGAAGTGGACGTACCCCTCGCCCTGACGAGGCAGGTCATGAGGGTGGCGAGGGCCCCAGCTCCTAGGTGCACGGGTGCCTCGGGGTGCTTCTAGGTGCCCGCGAGGGCCCTGCCTCATGGTTCTCCACCTGTAACGAGGCCGAGCAGGGCAAGCATAGGCCTGGGGCTTGCTCCTCTGCCCCTTCCTGTGTGCATGGAAAGTGGGATGCAGTGATGCTGGGAGAAGGGGCCTCATGGTTCTCCATCTGTAACGAGGCCGAGCAGGGCAAGCATAGGCCTGGGGCTTGCACCTCTGCCCCTTCCTGACGGTGTGCAGGGAAAGTGGGATGCAGTGATGCTGGGAGAAGGGGCCTACCGCTGTTGAACAACACAGGCTCAGCAGCCTTAACTCTTGGCTGCCTTCTCTCCGGGTGGGAAGTCATTGGTCTGGCTACCCGGCCGGCCTCTGAGGTCATGTTTAACACATGAGGATGCAGGTGCCAAGTGGAGTCGGGGAGAAAGCCCCGTCCGTGCCTTCTGGGCCAGGCCCGGGAGCTGCCCCGGCTCCCACTTTCTCTGAAGCCTCTTGCCCTCCCTCCCTCCCCAACAGGTGGCAGCGGAAGAGCTAAGCTACGTGGCTTAGTCCATCAGCATCTTATTCTGGGTAATAAAAAATAAAAATAAATGGATACCTGTTTTCCACTGCTAAAACTGAAGCACCACTGTGAGCAACAGGAGAGGGAGAGGAGTACCCGAGGGAGAGAGGAGCCCGAGACAGAGCGAGCGCCCACTGCTGGCACGTGGCGGCGAGGAGACGGAGAAGGGAGAGCGGGAGGTGGGGCGGCCACGGAGGACCGCCCGCCAGCGAGCCCCGCCAGCCCCGCTCGCCGAGGAGCCCAGCGCTCGCCCGCTGCGTCCACACCTGGGTCTGCGACCAGGGCGGAGGGAGGAAGACCCTCATCTCAGAGTAGCCCTTTCCTCTGTTCTTTTCTTTCTTTTTCTCTTTTATTGAAAGGGGACTACGTTTTAGCAGGAAAAACTACGCGTTTCTGTGCTGAGCAGGCTCCTTGCGGTGGCGGCCATGCCGGGAGAGCCCCTCAGAGTGTGGGTTCTGTCCACGCTGGCTCTGATATCGCCGCGCTCACACTGCCTGTGTTCTAGGAGGGTTTTCATTTAAAGAAAATACGGTGGTTTGTGTTTTTCTGTTTGTTTTTTAAAGATTCTTTCAAAGGAGTACTGAAAAATATACTTTCCTGAATTTGTCTCTCAAATCTTAGTGGTGGACCTGGGAGATGCGAGAAGCTTCCAGAAACGAAGTTTAAACATGCCAAAACAACTCAAGATTAGGATCAACACCTGTGACGGGAGGAGGATTTTCTTTTTTTTTCCGGTTTTAGCTTCCAGCAGCTTCTCCCTGTAGGTCAGGGCAGTGAGGGAGCATGGTCCCGGGCCGGGCAGGCGACTCCGTGGTCTCTGCTGGACTCCAAGAAGCAAAGCGCTTCCCGTGTGCCGTGGACTCGGCCCCACAGGAGGGGCCTCGGGCAGGACTGGCCGTGAGGCCAGAGGGCAGGAAGGTGGCAGTTCCCTGGCCAGTGGCTCCTTCCCCAGGGTCCTTCCTGAGGATTTGGTGGAAAGCACCAGCCAGGAGGATCTGTCCCCGTTCCCAGGGAGGCTCCCACCGTCGCTGTGGCCAGTTAGGCTCACTGAATGCCCCATCCCCTCTTGTTCCCCACCCTACCTGACTAGTTTGGAGCCCTTCTACCTGCGGGCACAGTTTTGATGAGGTGGGGTCATTTTAACTTTGGCGGGGAAAGGGAATACGTTTCTGAAATAAGTGGTACAGGGGGCCTCTGCCTGGGTCTGGGTTGCAACTTGCATTTATTGTTGCGGGTGGAGTCACCCCCAGCTCTTCGCACACCGTGATGGGGGTTAGCCTCCCTGGCGGGACCTAGTTGGGGACTGTCTAACCCTAACCCTGCCTATCCAGGCCCTGATGACCCTGACCCCCAGCATCCCCCTCCCCATGTGCCTTATCCCAAAGCCTCCAGATTCCAGCTGGTACATGGGAGAGATGGGGGACACACAGGCCACCTTCCTTCTGGCAAGGCCTCTTATTTATTACCATTGCTGTAGTGCTTTCGGTTCCCACTTCTTTTGGTAGCTGCATAGAGTTTGGATAGGTTTTTGCTATGACCCCTTGTGCACTGTCCCCATGGGTGACACACCCACCCACCCTGTTCTGTTCCTTGGAATGCTTTGCCTCTGCTTTGTGCTGTTTGCTTTTTTCTCCACCTTAGCAACAGTTGCTATGAGTCCCCCAAATCAAGAAGCATCTGTACCAAGGCAATGTAACTTTTTGATTTTCGGTCAATTTGTTGTTTTAACTTCTTTTGTCACCAATAAAATCTTAATAAACAGCTCTGCATTCACACTGGGGCTGGATAACTACAGGGGGTGGCAGAGCACTTGGTTTGGGGTTCTGCCTGGTTGGGGGTGGGGGATTCGGAGCCACCTCAACGGCAAAGCTGAGACGGGCCAAACCTGTGCGGCAGGGATGGGAGTGGGGGAATCTGGGCCTACGCAGGGTCAGTTCCTGGGGCCCGTGTACATTAGACGTTGGGCCCCCTAGAGATGGGTTCTGGAAAGGCTGCGCCGGCGGCGTCACTTGTAGGACCTCCACCCACCATCCTGGTGGTCGATGGTGATGGACATAGCTGCTTCCCTCCCCACTCCCAGGTGACAAGACCCGAGAAGGCAGCAGAGCGGACCACGCAGTGTTTATTGTTGCCCTCTCCCGCCCGCCCCCGGTCAGCGGCAGCCGCACTCATCCACCACCATGTCTTCGTAGTGCCGCAGTACCACGTTGTCGCTGTTGTCGAAGAAGAGCACGGAGATGGGCGACAGGCGCGCGGGCACGCAGCAGGGCAGGCCGGCGGCGGCGCTAGGGGCGGCCGCGTGCATGAGCGCGCGCAGCACCGCGTGGTTGAGCGCGGGTGTCCCGCCGGGTTCGGACAGCGCGGCGGGCAGCCCGCACTTGCCCTGGCAGTAGTTGGCCAGGAAGCCGCGTGGCGCGATGACCCAGCGGTGCCAGCCCACCTCGCGGAAGCTCACGTAGAGCCGCCGCGCGCGACACGCGCCCCCAGGGCCGCCGCCCACTGCGGGCTCGGCCTCGCGCCGCGGCCGGGCCAGGGGGTGGCACAGGCGCGGGTCGAGGGTCACCAGCAGCAGCGAGGCCTCGGCCAGGCTCGCGCAGGCGGCGGGAGCCCGGGGACGCAGCGCCAGAGTCAGGCGGAGGCTGCGCGGCGCCGAGGTGTTGCGGGCCCAGGCGGCGCCCAGCAGCTCGGCGCGCACCGGCATTCCCAGGGCGGACACCGCCTGGCGGAGCACCACCTGCCCGGGGCCCGCGCCCGCCGGCGCCACGCTCAGCTCCCAGCCGCCCGCCGTCCCCGCCGTCGCCTCTGCAGCCGCGAAGCGCAGCTCCAGGCGGGCCTGGCTCGGGCGCTCGGCTGGCTCCACGGCCGACAGGTCGAAGACGACGGTCCACTCAGGGCACTGTCCCGCAGCTGAGGCGGGCTCCGGGGGCCGGGCGGCCGCGCCTGGGGAGGAAGGGAGAGGGCTCGGCTGGCGCTGGGTCCCCACTCGGTGCCGACCGGCCCGCGAATGGGTCTTGATTGGGGACAGCGGGGGAAGGTGAGCGACCGGAGCTGGGGGTCGCACCATCTGTTAGAAGGCGTCAAATGTTGTGAAGCGGCGGTGGGTGAGGGAGATGGAGTGGGGGCAGGGCGTCACTTGCAAGGAAGAGGCCCCGACCAGTGTAGGGCGGCCAGCCCGCCGTTGGGGACATAGGCGGGGGTGGGGAGGTGGGGGGGGGGAATGAGCGAACGCATGGGGCCAGTGGGGAAGCGATGCTAGGGCGGGTGGCATCTGCAGGAAGGCATCAAGTGGTGTGAAGCGGCAGAGGGGGTGGGATGGAGTGGGGGCAGGGCTTCAGCTGCAAGCAAGGGGCCCTGCTCGGTGCAAGGGAGCCTGGCCTTCGGACCACTCCCCCACCCCATCCCCTGTCCCGGCAGGTGTCCACGCGGAGGAGCTGAGGGAGTTCAGAGGCCCAGGTTGCTTGCGGGCTGGACGGGGAGGGTGGCGACCCTCAGGGCTCTCCGGCCTTCCTCACGCGCCGCCGGAGGCTCGTGGCGGGCTCGGGGCGCCCAGCGGGGTATCGGCCTCCCAGACCCACGCCCCCAGTGCAGACCCCACTCACCGCGGTCCGGGACGTGGCGCACGATGTTTCCGGCGACCCCCAGCTCCTCCACATGGCACGGCCGCAGGGTAGTCCCCAGGGGCGTCCTCCGAGGGCCCGCCCTGGCCTCCTGGTGGTCCCGGCGGCGGAACAGGCGCCACATGACAGGGGGTACAGGCCGGGACTTGGGGGCGCCCCGGGGCACGTCGGGAAACCCGAGAGCCTGGAGTAGGGCGGCGGCGGGGCCCGGGGGCGCGGGGGCGCGGGCCGGGGGTGACGAGGGCAGCAGCATGGCTAGTAGGAGAAGAAGGACGCGGCGGCCCGGACGCCGGCACAGCGGTGGCATCTTCGTCACAGGCGGCGGCCGGGCGAGTGCTCAGGGGCTGCTGGGCTCCGGGACCTGCGGGCTGGGGGCGGGACCGGGGTCCCTGGAAAGACCTGGGCCAGGTCAGGGTCTCGGGGGGCGTGGCCGCGATCCTGAAGTCGAATAGGGACCAATCACGGGGGCGGGGTCTCTAGGGGGCGGGGCAGGGGTCCCGGGAGTGGCCAGGGCGGGGTGGGTTGCGGCGGGGGCGGAGCCTGATAGGGCCAGGGTACAGGGAGCGAATGGGGGAGCCGCGTGGCTGGTCCCCGAGGGCGAGGTTGGGTGGGGCTGGGTCCTGGGCGGCGGGGCCGGGGTCGAGGGGTTCAGAAGCGCTTGTCCTTAACCAGTCCATTCCTCAGCGGCTTCCTGCGAGCCAGAACCGGCCCAGGTTAGCCTAGGGACCCCACGCCACCACGTAGCGCCTCCCACCACCGTCCCGCCCTCCTTGCCCTCCTTTTCCCAGCCCCGCCCCATTCTTCCTCCCAGCCCACAAGGCCAAAAGACCCCGCCATCTGCCTGCTGGGCAAGTGGTCCCTGCTCCTTCCCACAATTAAACCCTCCTCTCCCCTCCCCCATGGGCCACCCGCGGCTGCTGGAGGGCAAAAGTCACCTACCAACCTCTGCCTGATTTAAGCCCATCGCCTGGACCTGGACCAGCACTTTATCCTCCTCCTCTCTCAGGGAGGCAGAACTGGCCAGAGCCCCCGGCGATCCCACCGGGCAGGCTCCTCCCCAACTACAATGGCCCTACCAGGAAAGGCTTCCCAGCCCATGATTCTCCATCCACTGCCCTCTGTCTACACCTGCCGCAGCCCCTACTTTGCTTCCATGGCCTTAAAACAAGTTATGTAGTGTTTTAAAACGAATCAGTACTGTAAGATCCCAGAGAAAGACCCCTAACGTCTAAACAACGTTCATGGTTTGCATATTTCAAACCGTCTACAAAGATGTCTTCTCCTGCACCTCAATTTTCCAAAAATGTGCCATCGAGATCGCTCCCATGTGCACTGATGCTCTCCTTAATTCCATCTTCCCTGCCTGTGTTAGTGGCAGGTCTCTGGGGTTCCGACTGGGAGGGGACCTGCACCCTGGGGATCTGCCCAGGTCCACCTTACTGGACTCAACAGGTCTACCCCTGCCCCTCACCGCTATTGCCATCACTTGCTCGGTGTTGTGTCCCGTTGAACTGGCCAGCCTGCTGATGCCAAGACAGCATCTCCCCGCAGTCTTATGGTCACGGCCATTGACCATTCCTATTCCCACGTATGAGAACCCTTCGTGCCTTTGCACATGGTCCATCAGTCTCTGCTGAAGTGAATTCTACAGTCTAGTTCATGTACAGCCGTATTAAGTTTTCTGAGCCAGTGATATATGTTCACGATCTAGACCTCAGAAAGCATAGAAAACTCAACAGTTCAACCAAGCGGCTCCTAGGGATCTACCACCCTTTGACTTCTGTGTATCCTCAGATACTAGCGTATGTGCATTACCGTACCCTGCAGCCCTTTGGTTTGTGGAGCACTCTAGCTCAGAGACCGTTCCATATGAGAACGTAAAGACTTTCCTGGAGAAGATGGTCTCAGTCACTTCGGTTTGCTCTTCCCTGGGGCTGGAGCCACTGGATGCCCCTTCCTGGGAGCACACCTCCCGCCCTCGGCCCACTTCTCCGTGGGCTGCTGTTTTCTCTCGCTGCCACTGCGGGAGCCCTTTATCTGGGAGATCAGAGATAAGCCGCCCGTGGACCTCCCATCTGTCCTGTATCTTCAGCTTGGCCTGTTGGTCTTTTAGACAGAGCAGAGGTGGGGTTCCCAGCTTCTTGAGTCTTCTCATAGTTCAGTTGCTGGACGGCACAGTCTCTCATTTCGACTCTTGTTTGATTGCACAGCTTCCATCTCTGCATCAACATCTTTGATGCTTTGGGAGTTTGCACTGGGGGCTCATGCGAGATAAAGATGGTTACCAAGCAAGCGTCCCATTGACAGTTCTTCCTTCCCTCCCGGGATGCTTCTTTGCTAAAGTTTGATGGGCTCAGCTCTGTTCCCACTGTTTTAATTCCTATACTTCTATAGAAGGTTTAATAGCTCCAAGGATCCGTACCCCTGCCCTGTGCCTCTTTATAAGCGCTTTCCTGTGGTGATTCTGGTTTGTTTTTCTGCACAAGCTTCCAAGTGCCCCCCTCCCTCCTCAAAAACAGTGTATTTGCGGGGGAGGGGAGTACCCAACTAGGGCGAGATGGCCTCTCTGCAGAATCAGATTTACACTTTTTCGTCTCAGTGCACCACAGCGGGAAAGAGAAAATCAGGACGAGGGTGGAAGCTGCAGGGGGATGTGGGCAGGCAGAGACTCGGGTGGATTCTGGATGTTTCCTTGAGGATAAGGAGGAGAGGGAGAGAAGGGGGGCTCCCTAGGGTTTTGCAAGGTTTTCACCCTGAGTTGCCATCAACTGCGATGGACAAATGTTCACGAGAGGTAGTTTGCGGTGGGAATGGGGGTTGATTCTGGATATTTAGAAGGTGCTTGGAATGTCAAGCAGACGCTGACACAGACAATGGCACTCAGAGGAGCACTGTGAGCCGGGAGAGAAACTTGGAAGTCGGGGTGGATTAAGTGAAAGGGCCCTGGGAGAGGGGGAGGCCAGACGCGGAGCAGGAAGGCACTAAAAAGTGAAGCGGGAGCCCATGTGCCGCAACTAAGGAGACTGCGAGCCGCAACTAAGACCCAGTGCAACCAAGTAAATAAATAAATATTAAAAAAAAAAAAAAAAAAGAAAGAAAGTGAAGCAGGGAGCAGAGGCAGACTGGCGATTGCAAAAGGAGAGGTTGGGTTGGGTATGGGGTTTCTTTTGCGGGGGTGACAAAAATGTTCTAAAACCGCAGTGATGGTTTCACAGCTCTGTGAATGGACTAAAAACATTGACTTCTACACGGCAAATGGGCAAATTGCATGGTGTGTGAATTCCATCTCAATAAAACTGTTCAAAATAAGGCGGCGGGGAGTGGCCACCAGATTTGTTTAGCGTCAGTGGAGCGGACAGGAGTGGTCTCGGGGTGGTGGGGGGAAGACCCCAGAGGGAGCTGGGTTCGAGAAGGGAGGAGGAGGGGGTGCTGGGCTGTAAGCGGAGCAGAGAGAGGAGGTTTCTCTTCTTGATCAGAATGTCCCTGAGCAGGCAAAGGGGTGGACATCGGTGGCCCGGGACGGTGGCCTCAGAGGGAGACGGACCATCTACCAAAGCAGCCAGCCAGCACTAGAGGGTGGATGTCCTCATCCGGCTACCCCTGCTTTCCTGGGGACACGGAAGCCAAGTCATCGGGTGAGGGGACAATGGTGAGGACAGTTGATGGCCGAGGAGAAGGAAGAGTCTCAGGAGATCAGGCACTGCCCAGGCATCGCTGAGGACCCCTGGCCCCCATTAGTGCTGCAGCGAGGACCAGATGTGTGGGTCGTGGCTCTTCAGATACAGCGGGGGCAGCTGAGAGTGTCACAGAGGAGAAAGCCGGTGTACGGAGGGGTGGGGTAGCCTCGGGCAGGTCAGCAGACCCAGAGCGGGGTGAGGGCCCCCGATGGATGGCGGTCCCAGCAGCCCAAGAGAACGATGGGGGCTTCAGACCGAGGTCGTGACCAGGGTGCAGGGGCTACTGCAGGGGGCCGAAGACAGAGGTCCAGGAGGGGCCCCACGGAGGGGGGTTCAGAAGAGAGAACCAGCAGGAGCAAAGAAGTCCTCAGTGCTGCTTTGCCATGGAAGACTGGGGTCCTTCAAAGTGGTTCTCAGTCATTGTTTTCTTACTGTTTTCAAATCTAACTGCATTTTCATCATACATGGTCTGCACGATCCTGGTTCTGAGCAACTGAGGTTGCCCCTGGTTTTTTTCAATTTTGAGAAGTGTTCCTGTGCTTAAAAAGAACATCTGTTCTTGCTTCGGAGCTGCCTGATGAGGAACGTGGACTTTACCTCCTGTGGTCCCATCTTGCCACGGTTTAGGGCTGCATCATGCGGATCCTTTCACATCAAAAATTACACCTGACTTTCTCCTCCTGTCTTTTTACTTACAACTTTTATTTATCCTGGAGTTGAAGTCTTGACCAGGTCAGAGGTGGATTTATTTAAAAGCCCAGTCGCGTAATTGTCATGATTATTCCATGTGTGTTTATTTGCATGCGCAATATTTGAGATTCTACCCTCATTCTGCATTACTTACCCTGCTTTTTCTAGCTTTCCTTTCCTGCATTTACTTTGTTGTACCTGTTTTTGGTTCCATTCTCCCCTCTACGCCCTAATAGTGTTAACATAAATACTCAATATAGCCCAAAGGTAATGCCCTACCCTCCTGCAAAATGCAAAGCCACCAATCCTGTTTCAATAATATTAAATATTTCAGCTCTAATTTTTTAAAATCTCTCAAATTAGGCGTTAAAAAAAAATTTTACCCAGATACGTATCAATTTCTCTGCTGATCTATCTCTTGGGGTAGTTTTCTGAAATATTCTCCTAGAGAAGATCTGTGAATGGTAAGCCTTCTTAGTTTTTGTTCCTGCGGATATCCTTTTTTTTTTTCTGGTGGGGATGCTGGGGACCAAACCCAGGATCTCATGCAAGCCAACAGGTATCCTTTCTCTTGAGTAACTGTTTTTAAACTTGTGTGTAAGAGTCCCGGTTTCTTGTTACTTCCTTTCAGCATTTGAGGTGATATCTGACTCCAGTCTTCCAGCTTCCCTCGTTGCTGTTAGTCTGTCACTGTTTCGTAGGTCATCTCTTCTTTTCTGTGGCTGTTTCACATTTCACTATGATGTGTCTGGGGCCTGGATGCCTTTGTATTCATCCTGCTTATGATTTATGTCTTGTCACTTTCTGGAAAAATTCTCAGCATTATGTCTTCTCATGTTGTCTCTCCCTGTCTATCTCCTATTAGGACTCAGCCACATAATTCTTACTGTTCTAGCTGTCATATTTTCCATTTGTTTAGGCTGCATCCTAGGTAATTTCTCCACAGCTTTCAATTCACTGATTCTCTTTTCAGCTGTATCTAATCGTTGGAGACTTAACATCTATAATAGGTTGAATGGTGGTCCCTAAAAGGATATGTCCACATCCTAATCTCTAGAACTGTGACTGTGACTCTATTTGGAAAAAGAGTCTTTGTAGATGTAATTAAGTGAAGGAATTTGGGATGAGATCATAGTGGTCTAAATCCAATGACAAATGTCCTTATAGGAGCCAGAGAGACCATCTGAAGACAGGAAATGGAGATTGGAGTGATGCAGCCACAAGCCAAAAAACATCTGGAACCCCCAGAAACTGGAAGAGGCAAGGAAGGATCCTCCCCTAGACTTTCAGAGCAAGAGTGGCTCTGCTGACACCTTCATTTCAGACTTCTGGTCTCTAGAACTGTGAGAGAATAAACCTCTGTTGTTTTAAGCCCCCTAGTTTGTGGTACTTTGTTACGGCAGCCCTAGGAAAGAAATATATTTAACATCCAATGCTGTTTTTCATGGTCTCTCATGCCTTTTACATTTTTAATAAACTTTTCATTTTAGAATAATTTTAGATTTGCAGAGATAGCATAAAGAGCTCCAGGGTAGCCCTTGCCCAAGTCTCCCCGAACGTTAACATTTTATATCTCCACAGTGCATTTATCACAACTAAGAAACCAATGCTAGAACATTGCTATGAGCTAAACCATAGACTTTATTTGAATTTCACCAGTTTTTCCACAGATGTCCCTTTTCTGGTCCAGGATCCCACATTGCATTCAGTCAATCTGAGCTGAGACGGTTCCTCAGTCTCTTGTTTTCCATGACCTGACGATTCTGAGGTGTCCTGACCAGCTCTTTTGTGGCACATTCCACATTCTCATTGCTTTTTATCCTATCTTGTTTTATACCCAACTGTGCTAACTCTAGCCATCCTTAGGGACCAGGTTCTGCGGGTGGTGCCCATGGGGCCAACCATGGCAGCGTGTCCCCAGTCCCCTGTCATTTCTGTATGGAGTTTGTTCTTTGCCATCCTAGTGGGAATGCTGTCATTTGGGGCTGGAGGCGCCAGCCTCCCAACTCACATTCTGGCTGGACATTCTTGGGGGAGACAGAGCAGGGAGCAGGGTGGAGCTAGGTGGTCTGGCTTGCTCTTTGCCTTGGGCTCTGCGTTTACAAGGACATCTCTAGGAGTTCACTGTTTTACAGCAGAAAGGTCTTTCAGTTTTAGATTTAGCCAAGCAGGTGCCTCCCCAACCTCACCCCTGGAGTTCTCTTTAATCACTGCTTCTTCTGGAAGCCTCTGAGGGTTGGTCAGACTCCTTGGTGAGACCTCACTGACCTCTACACGCAATTCCCAACTCACGTTCGCTGGACATCGACAATCCGACACCCTCAAAACTAGACTCCCAACCCCCTACCCCCACCGGTGCACACGGCCCTGCCCTGAGTCCCATCTCGGTAAATGGCAGCTCGAGCCAGAGGTCTTGGGTCATCTTTGAATTTTTTATTTCTATTTCACCTACATCCAAAGCAAGTCTGGTTAGTTCTACACCAGAGTTGGGATCTGACCACTGGGGTGACCTCACCTGCGGCCCAGCCCTCTTGTGTCCACAATCCCTGCTCACCTGCCTGACTCCCCTCTAACCTGGGTGCTGGCTTTTTGGCTGCTCTGGCAATTCCCCCAGTTCTTTGCTCCCCTTCTCATGTCTTTCAAGGAGATTTTTAAAAAATCTCTGCTTCTCTCATCCTCCTCCCTGCCCATTCTGACCCACACCTCATTGCACTCTGAGCCCACTGCTTCCCCGAAACCATCTTTCCCAGGTTGGTCACTGATGACCTCCCAGGGGTCAAATCAGAGGGTCTGCCGGGGAGCGCCCTGCGAGCCTTCAGCAGCCCCCACCTCACTGCTGCTCAACCACTCCTCACATTGACTGTGAGGCGCTGCACACCTTGGACCCTGCTGGTCATCCCAACCTGCCTCCATTCACTCCTGGGGCCCCTCCAGGCCAGGGGCTTTGGGCGCCATCTGGCTCACATCCCAGGGCTGGCAGTCCCGAGGCCCCTACCTCCAGGACGGTCGAAGAGGCCCCTTTGGCTCGTCATCCCTACAACTCCCACTTGGGCCCAAACCCCCGGCCCCATCTCCTGCTTGGCTGACCAGTGGTTGCCCCGCTGGACCAGGGAGTATTAGCCCGAACAGAGCACGGGCTCCCTGGGCCGCCCATGGCACCCCCTCACCGCCCCCTTCCACTGCCACCTGCTTAGAGGTTGCCGTCAGGCCTGGAAAACAGCTGATCCTCAGCACTGGGCTTGGCCCTCACGGCTCCCACCACCGAGACCCTGATTCTCACCCCTCACCTCTCTACCCGCACCTTCCTCGCTGTCTGTCCTGACAGCATCTAACTCTGTCGCTACATTGTCCATGCCTTTATTGCAGTCTCTCTTTTGGATGCAGGCTCCGGCGGGGGGGGGCAGCGTCGGCATTGGCCTCATCGGCTGCCGTGTCTCCGGGGCCTACCCACAGAGCGCGCTCGATCGGACAGACGTGGTTAAGGAATGAACTAGGGCTGGGGGCCCCTCCACACTCACTCAGCTTTGCTGGGCTTCGGGCTCAGGGCCTCTGCTGTGTCATATTCCCGCACGTCCTTCAGCTCCCGCACCTGGCCCGTCAGCACCTTGGCAGCAAAAGCCACGATGTACTGTGGGAGGGGAAGGCACAGGTGAGAAGAGAGCCCCGTCCCCGACCTCGCTGCCCTCCTGATGGCTGGGTGCTCCTGCCACCAGCCCTTTGCACGTTGCCTAACATGCCCCTCCTCCCTGGGAGTGCGTGAGAAGGGCGTGCACCTGGAGCGCCCCTTGGGGACGGGGACCGGGACAGGACTGGCATCTGAGAAGAAAGGGGTGGCGAGGAGTTGTGAGCGCCAACTCACCAGGAACCAATAGAGGTTCATGAGCGTGAGCAACAGCAGGAGTGCATTGAAGAAGAAGTAGAAGGGGATGTCAGGCACCGACCGCAGGCTGCAGTAGCTCGTGGCATACAGGACCTTGAGCGGGAACCAGTAGAGGCGGAACCAGAACCTGCAGGAGGGAGGGGCGCGTCGAGGAGGCTGTGGGGGAGAGGGGGAGGGGAGCCCCCTCCCTTCCCCCCCAGTCCCTGTCCTGTCCCGTCTGGACTCATCCATCTGCCCCTGCACATCCTCACTCATCCATGTCTCCTTACCCAACCCTTGTTCATTCCTGCCCAGCTGTCTCCATTCCTGTGCTGTCCTTTCCTGCCCAGCTTGCTTATTCCCAACTCGTGCCCTCTGCTGTCCCACCAGACCCCGCCCACATCACCCTGGCCCTGTCTGGCCCCTCCCACCTCACCAAGCCCCCACCCACCTCACCAGGACCCACCCCTTCCCTGCCCACCCGCCTCTCTAGGACCCACTTCCTTCCTGCTTGGCTCCACCCACTCTCATAAGCCCCACTTCCTTCCCGGCCTGGCCCCGCCTACCTCCACCAGGTCCCCTCCCCTTCCACTAGGCCCGCCTCCTCCCCTGCCGGCTCACCAGCTGAGGCTGAAGCTGAGGCAGCCCAGGTCTGCAGCCAGGGAGTGAAGCCGGTGGTGGGATCCTCCGCGGGACTTGAAGTAGACATTGAGCTTGGTGAACTCCAGCTGTACGTCACTGATGTCATGCAGGAAGAGCACAAGGATGCCCACCTTGTGGTACCTGAGGAGGAAATCGGGAGAGGAGAGAGGGCTGGTTACCCTGGGACCCCTACCCGCACCGAGGCTCCCAAGCACAGGCCCCCTTGGCCACCCCTCCAGGCTTCCCGTGGGTCTGTTCAGAGCTGTCCTCCCTGGCCCATCTGCCCTGCCCAGCCCCCCTTCACAGGGCTAGGTCAGCAGTAACACCCAGGCTGCACCCGTCCTGTGGCAGCCACACCCCAGGCTCAGGAACCTCCCTGGAAGTGCCCTCTCTGATCCTTCCTCATCTCTGTGACCTCTGACCCTCCATGACCCCTGACCCTCACAGGCCTGGGTCATTCTGTGTCCAGATACCCCACACTTTCAACATGACTGCCTCACTGATGCTCCCAGGTTTGTACATTTAACCCGAACACTGCTGCAAACTGCAGGCTTGCCTGGGAAAGGCCGCACCCCCACCAGGATCTGACGAAGGCTGGAGCCCCGTCCCTATCCAGCCTTCCGCCTCACAGCTGCTTGGTGCCTGAGTTCAGCCTGGATGTGGCTGTGCACCTCTGTCACCGTCTTCATGCCCACTCTGCCCTCCTGACAGCCACAGGCTGTTCTCATCCCCTAACATCCCTGGTGTTCCCGGAGCCTTCCTTCACCAACTTTCAGTCTCGGCTCACCTGTCACCCCTGACCACCCCACCTCACCTCACCACCTCTGCAGTCCTTATCTTCCGACTTGAATTTTCCATAGTGATCACCTTCAAACAAACTGTTAGTTCTTTTCTTTCATGGGTTTTTTTTTTTTTGTGGGGGGGTTGTTATCTGATTCTACCCTCTAGAGCAGGGCTGTCTAATAAATTTTCAAGAATGATAGGAATGTTCTAAATCTGCGTTGTCCAATACAGGAGTCACCAGCCACATACTGGGCTGAGGTACAGAATGTGTGATTTTATTTAAGTTTAATTAAAGTTGACATGACCACCTGTGGCCAGCAGCTACTGTGCTGGAGGGCACAGCTAGTCCAACAAGAATGGAATTTGAGGGGCTTCCCTGGTGGCGCAGTGGTTGAGAATCCGCCTGCCAGTGCAGGGAACACAGTTCAATCCCTGGTCCGGGAAGATCCCACATGCCGCAGAGCAACTAAGCCTGTGTGCCACAACTACTGAGCCTGTGCTCTAGAGCCCGTGAGCCACAACTACTGAGCCCACATGCTGCAACTACTGAAGCCCACGCACCTAGAGCCCATGCTCTGCAGCAAGAGAAGCCACCACAATGAGAAGCCCGCACACTGCAATGAAGAGTAGCCCCCACTAGCCACAATCAGAGAAAGCCTGCGCGCAGCAACAAAGACCCAACACAGCCAAAATAAATAAATAAAAATAAATTTTAAAAAATGAATAGAAGGGCTTCCCTGGCGGCGCAGTGGTTGGGAGTCTGCCTGCCGATGCAGGGGACACGGGTTCGTGCCCCGGTCCGGGAAGATCCCACATGCTGCGGAGTGGCTGGGCCCGTGAGCCATGGCCGCTGGGCCTGCGCGTCCGGAGCCTGTGCTCCGCGACGGGAGAGGCCACAGCAGTGAGAGGCCCACGTACCGCAAAAGCCAAAACCAAAAACAAAAAAATAAAATAAAAAATGAATAGAATATGAGCTGTATATGTCGTTTAAAATTTTCTTTTTTTAAAATTTTTTTGAGTTTCCATGTTCAATTTTTATTTTTTTTAATATCTTTATTGGAGTATAATTGCTTTACAATGTTGTGTTAGTTTCTGCTGTACAGCAAAGTGATTCAGTTATACATATATATATATATTTTTTTTCATATTCTTTTCCATTATGGTTTATCACAGGACATTGAATATAGTTCCCTGTGCTATACAGTAGGACCCTGTTGTTTATCCACCCTATTTATAATAGTTTGCATCTGCTAATCCCAATTTCGTTTTAAATTTTCTATCAGCAACGTTTAAAAAAAAAAGTAAATAGGGAGAGGTAAAATTAATTTTAATAATATATTCCAATTGACTCAGTATATCCGAAATGTCGTCATTCAACATGTAAATGACATAACAAAAGGACTGCAAGATATTTTCACTCTCCTTTACCCTTGGAATCAGGGTGGCTTTTATACATACAGCATGCTGTGGTTTGCACAGGCTCTGCCTTGAAGCACTATGACCACGTGTGGTGGCCACAGTGGGCTCTAGAACATAACGTTTTGTCTACTGTGCTCACGGCTGTGCCCCCAGCAGCACCTGTCACATGGCAGGTGTTCAGTAAACACTTGCTTTGTGACCCAGCCAAGGTTGCCATCCAGGAGGAGCTGGAGGGGGACAGATGGGGTGGGGGCAGGTGGTGCCTCTCTGCACCTGTTTTGCCCCATCACTTCAGAATCTCTCTTCAGAAACCTCTCCCACAGACACCCCCATACCCCCCACCCAGGCATCAGCCTCTGCCCTGTGCCAGCCTCTTGCCACTGCTCACGCCAGTGCCCTCCACCCTCCTGTCCCCTCCTGGACTCACCGGAAGGCATAGGATGAGATTATGAGGACCAAGGTGACCACATGGTGGATGAGCATGACCACTGAGTCCTTGCGCCAGGCATCCAGGTACAGCGTGGCGTAGATGGAATGGCCGTAGAAGCTTCCCTGTAGTAGGTAGGCAACTGCGATGTCCCGTGGTACCGCCATGCCCGTCTTCCAGCCTGGGGAGGGCCAGACCGTGCCGTCAGGGACCTGCAGGGCCTCCGGGACCCGCAGGCGACCCCGAGCATTCCCTCAAGCCACGCATGGGTCCTCTGCATGCTGGGCGTGCCACGCGTCTCTGCAGCTGTTCTGGTCGCTGGTTTTCTGTTACCCATTCTCCACCCATCATTGTTTATGAATAGGCATTACTTTTTAGAACAGTTCTAGACCTACAGAGAAAGGTGCTCCTACCCTGAAATTGGTCCTTTGCAGAATCTCCAACTGTGCCCCAGGCCCCCTTCCCCGTCTTCTCTTACCAGGCTCACTCAAGACACCCGGTCCTGGGTGCCGCCCTCCCAGCAAATCCCCAAACCGATGGAGGCTGCCACCTGCCTTGCTGTGCCGGCCAAGCAGCTGAGGCAGAAATCACACACTTTTCAACGCCCATGAGTGCGGGCTCTCCCGCAGAGCGGGCCCGGCTCCACCTCCCCTCCTGCAGCCACCTCCTGCCCCCTGCCCCTGCACATGCGCCCACCCGCACTCAGGCCTCGTGCCTTCCCAGGGGACATTGCTCCCCCCACCACCTCCGCCTCCCCTCCTCAGTCCATCATCGAGGACTCTGCCCGAATCGACCTAGAACTCCAGACTGTGCCCTGCTGTCTGCGGCTCCTTCTTTGTCCATCCCCCGTAACGGCCTCCCTGGGCTCCATCCCCGGTCTCCTGTCCCTCCCCCTCCAAGCCTCAGTGATCTGGAGCTAGACCCTCAAGTCCCCCTGGAGGCCAGCTATCCCTTAGATGCCTCCTATGCTGCCACCTCAGTGACAGCCCTTCGTCTGTACCCTGGTCCTGCCTGCAACGGAGATCCACTTGGACCTCTATCTGGGGGTCCCTCTTCGGTCCCCACCTCCACTTACTTGCCCTGCCCCCACTGAACCCACCCTGGTCCAGGTACCGTCATCTCCTCCCAGCGCTGCCCCAGCTTCTCCCGGCCTCCAGAGCCTATTCCCGACTGTCCATTCTCCCCACAGCAGCCTCGATGTCTGTGAATACACAGACCCCATGATCTGGCAAGTCTACTCTTGGCCTGTGCCCAAGGAAACTGAAAACAGGGACTCAAGAGACCCCCGTATACTCATGTCCACAGCAGCACTAGTCACAATCATCAAAAGGGGAACAGCCCAAATGTCCATCAGCAGGTGATTGGGTACACAAAATGTGGTAAATCCACGTTTCGTGTAGCCACATCATGTGGAATATTATGCAGCCCTAAAAAGGAAAGAAGGCTTGACACACACTACAATGTGAATAAACCTCAAAAACATTATGCTGAGTGAAAGAAGCCAGACACAAACGGGCACATGCAATCACAAACCAATGATTCCATGTATATGAAATGTCCACAGAACAGGCAAATCCACAGAGACAGAAAGCGGATTAATGGTTGCCAGGGGCTGGGAGAGGGGGGATGGCAAGCTGCTAATGGGGACGGGTCTCCTTTTCGGGATGATGGAAATGTTCCGGAACTAGATAGACACGGTGCTTACGCAACACTGTGAACGTGCTAAATGCCACTGAACTGCTCACTTTAAAATGGTGAATTTTTAAAAGTTGTGGTAAAAATATACATAACATAAAATTTACCATCTTAACCATTTTTACGTTTAGTAGCACTAGGTGTATTCACACTGTTGTGTAACCAATCTCTAAAAGCTCTTCCATGTTGTAAAACTGAAACTCTGTTCCCATTAGACACTCCCTCTCCGTTCCCCCTTCCCCAGCCCCTGACACCCACCATGCTACTTTCTGTCTCTATGGATTTGACGAGCCTAGGTGCCTCACATAAGTAGAATCACACAGTATTTGTGTTTCTGTGACTGGCTAAAATGGTTAATTCTGGGAATTCCTTGGCGGTCCAGTGGCTAGGACTCCGCGCTTCCATTGCAGGGGGCACGGGTCCGATCCCTGGTCGGGGAGCTAAGATCCAGCGAGAGGCACAGTGCGGCCAAAAATAAATAAATAAATAAAATAGAATGGTTAATTCTATGTTATGTAAATTTTACGTAATCAAAAAAAATGAAAGACACCTGACAGATCACTCATCCCCCACTTGAACACATCCAGGGCTCCCCAATTGGGCTCAGTAGCAAAACTCACACTCCTGGCTGGGTCTCCCCCCACGTTCCGTGCACAGCCTTGTGGCAGTGCTGCAGTCAGCAGAGGGGGGCCTCCCCACACCTGCCAAGTGTCTCTGTCCCTCTTGAGAAGGAAGGGACGCGGAGGCACCCTCTATGGAAACGGGACACCCTCTTTTCCACCTATCACACTGGCGAGACTGCTACAGTGGAGAGCACCCCCTCTCCAGCTTTGGGCCCCAGATCTGGGGCAGAGGGAAGAGGGCAGCAGATAATTCCCCATCTGGGCTGCGTCTGCACCTCCCTGCACGTTGCGGGGTGAGGTGGGCCGGGCTCTGTCTGTGGACCTCCCACCTCCTCTCCACGCACACCCCGCCTGCTGCTCTGGCCTCTCCATGTCACTCCTGCCTCATCCCCCTCCCTGATCTCCAGGATCAGCCACCTGGGCATCCCACACCCAGCTCCTGGTCTCCCCCAAACCTGCCCCACCCTCAGCCCCCTAGACCCTGGGGTCAGCCCCACCCTCCTTCTCTCTCACACCCACCTATGGTTTGGCAGTGAATCCTATCAATTCTGCTGTCAAAACATTTCTTTTCTTTTTTTTTTTTTGCGGTACGCGGGCCTCTCACTGTTGTGGCCTCTCCCGTTGCGGAGCACAGGCTCCAGACACGCAGGCCCAGAGGCCATGGCTCATAGGCCCAGCCGCTCCGTGGCATGTGGGATCCTCCCGGACCGGGGCACGAACCCGTGTCCCCTGCATCGGCAGACGGACTCAACCACTGCGCCACCAGGGAAGCCCCAAAACATTTCTTAAATCAGCCACTTCTCTCCCCACCACAACCCTGTCCTGGGCAGAGCACACCGGCTCCTGCCCTCAGCCCCACCCTTAGGTCGTCCTGTCAACGTCCCCCCTCTGCTCGTGGCCCTATGGAAAAGACCCCCACTGCTCCCACCCCACCTGACTGGGCTCCTTGCTGCTTCTGATCAGCCAGTAGCGTGTCTGTCCGACAGTGGCCTTTGCATTTCCCATCTGCCCCAGGTTCCTCCCAGTCCCCACTCAAAAGTCACCTTTGGTGGGACCATCCCCATCCCTGTAGAAAATGCCCTCCTCCCCACCTCCTAGACACCCCACATCCCATGCTCCTCTGCTCACACAAGTTTTCTCATCTTCACTTATCACCGTTAACAGATTTCCTATTTCACGTTAACAGATCTGTCACCCCAAAACACAGGGGTGGGGGGCATTCTCTGACCTACTCACAGTTGTGTCAGCACAGCACCCGGTACAGAGTAGGTACTCAATAAGTGTGCCTGCAGAGAAGCAGCTAACTTGTAAGTGTGCTATCACAGCATAATTTATAAGCAGGAACCAGAGGCAACTCCATGCTCGAAACTTCAATTACAGAGAGAGAGTTCAATTACAGTTCATTCTCATAAAGGAAAATTGAATGACAGCTCAAACCTCCCCTCTAGGGATTTATGACACGGGAAATGTGCGTGTGTTACACGGGAAAAGTGGCCATGTGGGCAGCATGGTCACAAGACAGACAGGTGCAGCGCAGGGGTTCCATGCCCAGCTCCCTGGTGCCAACAGGAGCCCTCCCAGGATGTTTATATCACACGGCAGGAAACATGTCCATGTGTGTCCCTGATACACGGTCTGGGTGGTCAGCACAAGAGTAGAGAAGCCTGACCCCTCGTCGCAGACTGAGTTTTCTACATCGGCCTGCCGGTTGGTAACAGAGGACACTGCAGTCAAATTCCTGCCCCTCCCACCCAGAGCTCAGGCCTTGATGACACCCACGTCGAATCCAATCAATGGATGCAGCCACTTCTCATCACCTTTATCTCCTTGCCAAGCTGGTCCAAACCACACTGGTCCCTTGCCTAAACCCTGGGCCCAGCTCCCCTCCTTACCCAAGATTCATCTGTCTCCACATGGCAGCCAGAAGAAGGTTTTTTATAACCCACAAACCCATCCCATTTAGGACGAAACTCAAGCTCCTGCCATCCTCCTCTCGTCCCCATATTATCAAGCTCATGCAAGCCCCAGGGCCTTTGCACGTGTTGGACTGCTTGCCTGGGCCCACACAAGGGGTCCCCTCCTCTAGGATGTTTCCCTGAGTCCTGACAGGGACAGGTGCCCCCTTTTCTGGCCCCAGGGCCCCTTCATCGCCCTTGTCTCAGAGCAGACATCCAGCATGGGATGTCTGATGAGTGTCCAGCTCCCCCATGTACCCTTCTCTGAGTTCAGAACAGCGCCCTCCCCCAACCTGCCCCATCCCTGCAGGTCCCCTACCATAGAAGACGGAGGGTGGGTCGTGAAAGAAGGGGTAGTCAGTGCCGAAGAGCAGGTAGGTGCTGTAGCTCCAGGCGCCCAGGTAGAAGAGAAACTTCCAGGCGCTCTCAGGCATCTTGGCGGCATCTCTAGGCTGGAGGCGGCACCGCTTGGCTAGGGGCTACGGGTGAGAAGGCGGGTGGCCATCAGCACTGGTAGCCAAGGGCCGCTCCTCCAGGGTAGGGAAACCAAGGCCCAGGGACTCCCCAGGCCAGGCAGTGCCAGGCCCGGTACCCACAGCCTCCTGGAAAGTAACCAGAGCCCACGTGTACCTGCCAAGGGCTAAACTTAGGGCCCAGCTGTCCAGCCGCAGCCGCAAGGGGAGGGGAGTGATGGGGGAGACCTGGGGGGAAACGTGAGGGGAGGCTGTGAGGAGAGGAGGGGGACACGTGGGTGTAAAGCAAGGGAGACCAGTGGGGTCAGTCCAGGGGACTGGGGGGCCTGGGGGGTCTCAGGGGGAGCTAGAGGTATGACAGAGAGGAAGAAGGATTAAAGAGAAGACTTGGAAGGGGCAATGGGAGTGAACTGGAGGGGAATATGGGGGCATCCGGGGGAACATGGGGGGCTGGAACCCTAGCAATCCCCATGGGGGAGGAACTTGAGGGAAGAGGGTGCCTCAGAGGAGGAATTGGGGAGACCAGAGAGGAACGGGGGCTGGGGAAGATGGGGTGGGTAGGTGGGGGAGGACATGGGAACTCAGGGGAGAAAAGGAAGAGAGGATGGGGCAGAGGAAGAAAGAGGGTCAAGGAAAGGACATCGCAGATGGGGGGACCTGAGGGGACAGCAGGGAGGGGACAAAAGAAGTGGGAGCATGCAACGGTGAGGCATGGAGGAATTTCAGGGACCCTGCGCCCCTGGAGTCCTGGGGGCAGAGCCTCAATCTCTCTGGGGGCGGGGCTCCAGAGCTGCCGGCCAAGCCCCGCCCCCCTCCCCTAGGAGCGGCTGAGGGGGCCGGAGCACCAACAGTCGCCATGGAGACAGCCAGAGCCAGCTCCGGTAACCCCTGGCAACCACACGACTGCCAAGAAGATGAGCTTTGGAGAACGAGGCAGCCCCTCCGCCCGTTTCTTGGGAAGGGCGAGCCACGAACTGGAGTGAGTGCCCGACGTCCAGGGATTCTAAAAGTGAGGGGCCCGTGACCTTGCTGTCCCCCACCCAGCTCCCTCAGGAACGTGGGGAGGAAGCCTGCTCCACCCTGGTAGTCCCAGAGCAACCATATCCCCCTCCTGGGCTCTGGCCCTCGTGCTCCTGGACCTCCCACTGCCCAGCTGGAAACTGGGAAGGTGGGGGAAGCAACAAAGCAAGATTGGGACCAGGGCTCACCTACGGAGGGGCCATAGTCATGCCTGCCTCCCCCTCCCTGGAGCAGCGTGGTGGCTGGGGTCTCTAATCCCCATGTGGGTCATATGGGGGTGGGAGTGGGGACAATGGCAGCCAGACAACACACCATCCCTGACTTAACAAGGGCCAGCCTCTGCCCAGCCAGCAGAGAAAGGCCCCTTTGTTGGCTCCAGGCACTCTGTCCCTGCACCCCCTGCCACCTCCAGTCAGACGGGCGGAGTGACCCCAGCTGGTCCTCAGGGAAGTCACAGCCAAGCTTGGAGCCCAAACGCCTTCCAACAAGCTCCCATAGCAGCGACCCCTCCCCAAGGATGGGAGGGAGGCCAGGCGCCAATGTTACCCCACAGTCACTCTCCAGCTGGGGAGGTGGCCTTCCCAGGCTCGCCGGAAACTGAGCAATTCGGTGGCGACCCCTTGGAGCCCGCACAGTCCAGCTTCGCAGACCCAGGCCGTGCCACCTCCCCCAAAGCCTGCGAACACGGCGTGGCCAGGGAGCCCAGGCCTTTGCATCCCTTGATCGGAGGGTGGCGCTGACTCCAGACAGACGAGCGGCAGCGACTGGGCAGCTCCTGCCTCTTCCCGGTCGCAGCGGACGAGCCAGTCCCGCCGCCGCACCGACCCCGGACACCGATCCGGTTCCGAGCGCGCCCCAAATGACCCGGAGGCGCAAGGCACACGCAGCCCCTGTGCGCCGAGCCTTCCCTGCCCGTGTCCTCCGCTCCTCTATACCCAGCTCAGCTAGGTCCGAAAGAGTGCGCAGCAGACAAGGCCCTCCCACCGCCCAGGGCCCCCTTGTCCCGCACTGACCGGACCTGTTCCCCCACATCTTGAGCATCCTACCCTTGTCAGGGTCCCCACGTTCCAGGCTTCCCCCAGCCCGGCCACACCCCCACATCCACTCGCAACCCCACCCCGCCCTGACCCAAAGGGGCACGCGGCCGCCCAAGATTCCGCGTCCCGAGCTCCTCCAGCCTGAGGCTCGCCACGTTCCAGTCACCCTGGTCCGCGGAGACATAAAGGGGCGCGCGGCGGCCCTGGGTCCCCGCCCCGGACTCCCTAACATCCCGGCCCCCCAGCCCGGGACCCCCACGTCCCAACCGCCAGCAGCACTTACCCGAAAGAGGCGCGAAGTGGCCGCCGAGCGCAGCGCGGTCCAGCCGAGTGCGCAGAGCGCCAGCAGCAGCAGCTCGGGAGGCGCCAGGTGCGCGTGCTCGGCCAGGCCGCGGCGCGCCAACCCCCAGCCGCAATCCGCGCAGCCCCGCGCAGCCGCCAGCGCACTGCCCCAGCCGCGCTGCACCAGCTGCGCGTAGCTAGGCATGGGCTCAGGCCCCGCCGAACCCGCCGCGGTCCCCGCCGCCGCCATGCCGCCCGCTCCCGGTCGTCCCGGCAGTCTGCGCCCGCCCACGGTGGCCGCCGGAGCCGCGCGCCCCGCGTCACGCGCCGCAGTTGGGCCGGGGGCGCGCTGGCCGTAGCCCGTGGGACGGAGGGGCGGGGCCAGTGTTAGCTCCGCCCCGCAGGGACGCGGGGCCGGGGCGTGCAGGAGCTGGGTCCCCCGGAGGCAGCAGCGGCGACCTCAGGCGTACAAGTCCTGGTGTTGTCTCGCCGCGTCCTGGAGGCGGGCCAGCGATCTGGCTCATTTTCCAGTGGAGGAAACCCAGGCGCGGGGGAGGGGGGAGGGGGGCGACCGGGGGGTGGAGGGGGTGTCTGCCTGGCGCCCGCCTGACCTGAACCCGAGTAGGGCCGCAGCGGCCCCGTGTCCCCATCCCTCGTCCTCGCTTGGATGCCCTTGCCCATCCTGGGCTCCTTCACCCCACCAGGCTGTGTCCGCAACATGGGGCAAGGTGAGCACCAGTAAGCCGTGCCCAGGACCAGCGATTCTCTCTTTCCCAGGCCCTCCAGCATGCTTCTCTTGCCCTGTCCCACACTCAGGCCTCACCATACCCCCGCTTGAGGGCCACCTGCTGCTCTCTGTGACCCTGAGGACCTGGCAGGCCTCCCTGAAGCGGATTAACACAGGCCTTCAGGGAGGCCAAGGGAGTGAGCGCCCATGTGGGGGAACTCAGGCTGGCTCAAGACCACCACTTCATTGGGACCAACCCCCATGATCTTCCACTGTACACCGACCAGGCCCTGTGTCCAAAGCCCCCAATGGCCATCACCGAAGGCACCGGTCACCTCTTGGGGACATCGTCTCGCCTGCCACTGGTAGCCCTCATCCCAGCCCCAGGACTCCCGCACGCCTGTGCCCCTCCCTTCTCCCCATCCAGGAGTCCTCCCACAGCCTTCCGAGGTGGGAGGAATCAGTGTGTGCCCTGCAGGAGCCAGGCTGGGTCCCATATGGCCACCAGCTTGACCTGACCTTCAGGTGCACAGGTGAAAACGGGGGGGGGGGTCAAAGGGGCCCTCATCCCTCCTCCTTTCCCTCACCCTCTGTCCTGCAGCAATCCAATTCTCCCCACCTTCAAATGTTCCCAGAATCCAGCCACTTCTCTGCACCTGTACAGCCTTATGCGACCCTCGGCCACCCTTGTGCCTCCTTCCTAGTGTCTCGGCCTCCTCCTTACCCCGCTCAGAGGCCAGAGGAAACCTACCTGTCCCTCCTCTGCTCACAGCCATCCATAGCTCCCATCACACAGAGTAAAAGCCCATCTCCTCACTGTGACCCACAACCTATCCTCACGCCCTTCTCTCTCCATCTTTCTCCTTCCGTTCCAGCCACAGTGGCCTCATAGCTGGAGGTGGCTCTCCAACACCCCAAACAGTCCTGCCTCAGGGTCTTTCACTGGCTGTTCCCTCTGCCTAGAATGCTGTTCCCCCAGGTATTGGCAGGGCTCCTCCTTCACCAGCTTCAGGCTTTACCTACAAATGTCACCTGCTTGTTGCACCTCCCTGATCCCCCCATCAGTCTTCTCCTTGGCACTTATCACCATCTGTCCTGCTGTACCTCTTACTCATTATTTTTGAATGTGCACTCCATGTGGGCAAGGGTTCATCTGTCCGGTTAACTAATGCCACAGCCAGCGTGGCAAGCAGACGGGGGCTAAGGGGTCCCGGGCTGCTGGACATGCCCTCATAGGTCCAGTCGGGCCTGTGGGGCAGCCCTGTACCATCCCAACCACCCACCTCTGCCCTCCCACCCAGGCACTATCTGGTCACTATGGCACCCATCAGTAATGGGAGAGGTGCCCCCAACCACCAGCCCCAGCGCAGCCTCGAGTTTCATTTTGGCAGGGCCCACATAGGAGGCTGCCAATGTGTGGGTACAGAGCGGAAACAGAAAGTGGCTCCTGGTGCTGGCAGCTGAGAAACAGCTCCCAGGCACCAGGGGCTCAGTGAGGGGCTGCCGAGGTCCCAAGGATGGCACCCATACCCTGCCCCACCTGAAAAGGCAGGCCTCCTCTTCCCCAGGGAGCTCATCTCAGCCCTCACTCCCCCTACACACCACTGCCCCTGACTGATGCCCCTGCCCCAGGGCATCCGCACCAGGCAGGGAGGGGCTGGGGGTGGGTCCTGATGCTGGAGGTCCCTTGCTCTCTGTCTTGTCTTGGCAATCAAGCACAGGGTTTCCCAAGACCACCTCCGAGGCCAGGCTCTCGGAGCCCAAGTATCTTTCTTTCCCTACCCAGACACTGGCTCAGAGACAGAGCCCTGTCCAGCTCAGGGTCCAGTGTGGCCTCAGGGTCTTTGCACAGGCTGTTCCTACTGCCCAGGATGCTCGTCGCCCCAGAACCTGTCCTGGCAGATCCTTCTTCTTGTTTTGGTGGACACAGCTCAATGGTGACCTCATCCCAGAGGCCCCTGCCATTCCCCCTCCCTCCCTCTGTTGTTTAGCTTTTTTTTTTTTTTAAGAAACTGATTGATTGGCTGCGTGGGCCTTCGTTGTTGCGTGCGGACTTTCTCTAGTTGCGGCGAGCGGGGGCTACTCTTTGCGGTGCACTGGCTTCTCATTGCGGTGGCTTCTGTTGTTGCGGAGCACGGGCTCTAGGCACGCGGGGTTCAAGGAGTTGCAGCACATGGGCTCAGTAGTTGTGGCTCGCGGACTCTAGAGCGCAGGCTCAGTCGTGGCACACAGGCTTAGTTTCTCTGTGGCGTGTGGGATCTTCCCAGACCAGGGCTTGAACCCGTGTCCCCTGCATTGGCAGATTCTTAACCACTGCACCACCAGGGAAGCCCTTAGCTTCTTCTTATCGAGGGGCGCTCACTATGCATTTCTCTCTCTGGGCAGGGAGCTCGCTGCTTCGGCCACAGCAGCGCTCCGGCGCCCACAGCCCCGACCACAGTGGGTCTGTCTTGGCTCATGACTCACCACAGGGCAGCAAGGAGCAGGGGTCTGGGCGGCTGATGTTCACTCCTGTGAGGACCCGGTACACACCCTCCCCACTTGGCTGAGCCTGAGTGCTTCTGGCACCCTCACCACCTGCAGACCACCTAGGGGTCCTGCGTTCAAATCCTGGTGCCCCTTGTGATGGCTGTGACTTCTCTGTGCTGCAGTTTCCTTGGATGCCAACTGGGCTTGGGGGACATGGCTGTGCCGCCTGCAGCTCAGCAACATGAGGTGGCTGTTTGAGGGCAGGGGAGTCTGTACAGCTGCTGCTCACAGGCCCTGGTCACCAGGGCCCCCTCCCAGCAACAGCCCTGGGTGATGGTGCCCAGGCCCCTCCCATCTGAGCCCTGGTTCCCACATGCTCCCCTCAAAATGGCTAGAGCAAACATGGATCCATTGGGGATACCTGGAGTGAAGACATTTATTGACAAAAGCAGGGGCTGGGCTGGGCTTCCAGCCTCTGCTTCTGGCCAAATGGCAAGTGCCCGGTGGAGAGGGCAGCACAGCCCTGGCCTTGTATCCCCACAGCTCCGGAAACGCGTCTGGGGCCGGTCTCAGGCGCTGGGGGCGTAGTGCAGCGCCAACCGGTCAAAGTCGTTTTCCTTCAACGTGAATAGGGGGCGGGGAAGGGGGATGGGGGTGGACAGAGAAAGGGGAGAACTTGTGAGCCAGGCCCCAAGTTCTGCGCTTTGCCTGGCAGAGCCTGGGGGGTCTAGGGCTCAGAGACGGGCCGCCTGCACAAGCTCACCTTGGCCTGGTACTCCTTGATGAAGGGGTGGGACCTGTGGGCGTCCTTCAGCTGGGACAGGTAGCGGTTTGTCACCTGTGGGGGAGGCAAGGTTAGCTAAATATGGGGACTCCATGGTGGCTCTGACCTGCAGGGTAGGGAGTGGGGTGAAACAAGGGCCACCTGGCCAGACCCAGGCAAGAGCCCTGGTTTCCCCACATTTTCTCCATCACAACCTGCCGCCCCGGAACCATGCTGAATTAGAGAGGACCCTGGCGGGTGGGGAGCACCACCTGGCACAGAGCCTGCACTTGGTACATGGGTGAAGCATGCACCAGGTTCAGGGATGTGGGCTGGGCAGGGACCCAGGCCCTGGGAGAGGCAGGAGGCCAGGAGTGGAAGGCAGGTCAGGGAGCACGGGGCTGGGAAAGGAGATGGATTTGTTCTGGGCACGTCGTATGGAGACACCTCAGAGGTGGGCCCTCGCTCCCAGCCTTGCCCTACCCTGACCATGTGGGGCTAGGGGCGTCTGTCTGGCTCTGTTTCTCCAAAACTGATAGTCTGGGGATGTCTCTGCGGTGAGTGGGAGAGCGGTCCTACCTGTCCTGCACCACCCCAGCCCTGAGGCTGTCTGGGGGGCTCTTCTTCGAGAAACTGGTGACAGACCATCATGAAGCCCTGAGGCAGGCCCCTGGCCGGCTGGGCAAGGCACCTAAATGGGGCAGTGCCCCAGCATCCTCCTCCCCACCCTCAGACAAGGTAGGCTCAGCAGGATTGCTCCCCTGAGCCCTGTTTCTCTGTCCTGGTGTCCGCCCCCAATCCTGAGGTGGCACAGGCCGAGTCCTAGCCTGGGAGCCCTGAGCCTCAGCCCACTTGTCTGTAGGGCCCACAGAGCAGCTGACCTGCAGCCCCGACCAGGGTGGGGACCCTGGGAGAGTACTTGCAATGCCAGCTTCCCGGGGCCGATCTCAGCTGCACCCACTCGTGGGGAACAGGTTTTTGGCCCAAGGCCAGGCCAATCTTGAAGGTCAGACCCTGAGGCCCCAAGCTCCCTCTAGAGCCGGGGCCACACCAGAGACCCCTGCCCACCCCAGGCTGGCACCGTGAGGGCCGGAAAACACTCCTGCACCTGGCTGAGGGTGGGGAGGGTCCTACCTCGGGAGGCTTGCCCAGGTGCTGGGACAGGACGATGAGGTTGATCAGGGTCTCAGGGTGGCCGCTGTCCTGGCAACACAAGGGAACACCAGACAGGCAGGGTCAGCTCCTCCAGGCCCCCATCTCAAGCAGGGCTGGGATTGCAAGACCCAGCACGCCCCCACCACTGGCCGCTCCGCAAGACAGTGACCTCAGGGCCCTCCCTTCTGCCTCCCCACACCGGCTGCTTTCCCAGCGAGCATGTTGCTTC